AAAATCAACACTCTTGGTACCAGCAGTCAGGAAATCAAAAGATGAATTGCATTGGGAAAGTCTCCTGTCAGGGACGTCTCCAGAGTACTAAAGAGCAATGATTTCAGTCCAGATATTAAGGTGCACCTGATTGACACCATGGTTTTTGCAGTAATTTGGTATGCATCAGAAAGCTAGACAATGACTAAGGATGATAGAACTGATGCCTTTGGGTTGTAGTGCTATTGAAGAGTGTTGAATATACCATGGACTAAAAAAACGTATTGCGATGGGAAAGTCTGCTGTTAGGGACCTCTCTAAAGTACGCAAGAGCAACAGTGTCTCTCTGGAAACTAAGGTGCGCCTGATACAGGCCATGGTCTTTGCAATCACTTGTTATGCATCAGAGAGTTGGACAATGACTAGGGAGGATAGAAGAAGAATTGGCACCTTTGAGCTGTGGTGCTGGAGAAGAGTATTGAATGTACCATGGACTGCCAAGAAAACAGATTCATCCTAGAGAGAGTTAAACCAGGTTACTCCTTGGAGGCAAGGATTCTGGGGCTTCATCTGACAATACATTGGACACATTGTAAGGAGAGACAGGTCTTTAGAGAGGGACATCATGCTGGGTAGAGGGATAGTGCAGGAGGGGAAGGCCCTCTATGAGGTGGATTGATTGAGTGACTGGGGTAATCGGGATGGGTGTGTCAGAGACAGTAAATTGGCACAGGACAAAGCAGGGTTTAGGGCTGTTGTACATAGGGTCACTATGAGTCACAAAAGACTCGACGGCACATAACAACAACTAGAACAAACAGGTTCGTCCTGAAGAGGATGAAATCAAGCTGCTCCTTGGACGCAAGCATTTCAAAACTCCATTTGACATGCTTGGGCATGTTGCAAGGAGGGACTAGTCCTTGGAAAGGGACATCATGCTTGGAAGGGTAGAGGGACAGCACAGAAAACCCTGGATGAATTGGACTGACTCAGTGACTGGGGTAATGGACAATGAGGTTGGCTCAAGATACAGCAGGGTTCAGAGCTGTTGTACCTAGGGTTGCTATGAGTTGCAAATTACTTGATAGCACCTAACAAGATGAGTTGTAGTTACGTTGAGGGCACTTAACAACTAGATTATTTTTGTCCACAAAAAGACTGATGGATTAAAACCCCCAACCCTTTGGTTAACAACTGAATGAACATTCAGGGACACCAGGGCTCACTGATGGGGTACCAGAGAGTGGTAGTTACTAGTCTTAGTTACTGCTTTAAAACAGCAAAGTTGAGTGGAAAGCTCTCTCATTACAGGTTCTGAAAGCAAGAGTTAGGGGTCATGGACTCCGAGCCTTCAGCAGTGCAACATCTAATTGCTCGAGTAATACTTGCTTTTGGGGAAGAATTACCCAAGGTGGCCTTTCCACTGAGATGGATTTACACAGTTAACGGTAACAATGGGCTCAAGGATGGTGGGGGTCATGAGGATGGTACAGGATAGGGGAAAGAAGGTTCAGATCTGTGTTCATAGGGTTGCAATGAGTTATAGTCAACACAACACCACATAAAAACAACAATCATGTGGGTAAGGAATGTGAGAAAATGTTTTCTTCCTTACATTCTTCTGCATTTTTGTCTTATTCAAAATTATGTTACAAGTGATAGAAAATAGAAAACTTGTACATGAATGTTATAGTGCCTTTATCAGTAATAGCCAAAATATGGAAACAAAATGCCCTTCAGTAGGTGAATCATTTAATAACTTGAGGCATATCCGTACCAAAAGATAAACACATTGCCATTAAGTCAGACTAGAATCATAGTTGACCCTCCAGCAGGTCGTCAGAAGCTGTAAATCACATAAGTCTATCCACTTTTCTTCCACAGAGCAACTGATGGATTCAATGCTCCTGCCTTTTGGTTGGCAGTACAACTTCTAGCTCACTAGACCACCAGATCTCCCTTACCATGGAATGTTATTGTTAGATGCCATTGAGACAAGTACAACTCACAGTGACCTTTTGAAGAAAGGATCTGAACACTGTTCTATCTTGCACCATCCTCATACAAAAGGGCCCACTGCAGCAGTCATTGTATCAGTCCACCTGCTTGAAGGTCTTCCTCTCCTTCACCAACCCTCCATCCTTCCCAGCATCATGTACTTCTCCAAGGAATAGCCCCTCCTAATAATATGCCCAAAGTATATGAAGTCTCACCATTTTTTCCTCTAAAGAGCACTCCAGCTTATGCATACTTTCCAAGACCTATCTGTTCCCTTGGCCATCCATGGGATGTTCCATGCTCTTCTTCAAAATCACAGCTCAAAGACATCAATTTTTCTGTCCAGCTCTCAGGTGCACAGCAAGTGATCAGAAAGACTATGGCCTGAATCAAACACACCATAGTTCTCAAACTTACATGATTCTCTTCCATAATTTGGAGAGGTCTCTAACTGCAGATGTTCCCAGTGCAATGCATCTCATTTGCTGACTGCTGGTACCAATGGTGTTAATTATGGATCCAAGCAAGATGAAGCTGTTGACAGTTTCAATCCCTTCTCCACTCGTCATGATGTTGCTTACCGGTCCAGTGGTAAGAATCTTTGTTTTCCTGACATTCCATTCAAACCGAAGGCTGTATTCCTTGATCTTCAGCAACAAATGCTTCATGTCCTCCTCACTTTAAACTGGAGCCAAAGAGGAAGAAATAGAGAATTTTTACCAAGTCTTGCAGTCTGAAATTGACAAGATGCAAGCAAGATGTGTTAGTGATAACTGATGACTGGAATGCAAAAGTGGCAAACAGTGAAGGGATAGTATTTGCAAAATGTAGGCTTGGTGATAGAAATGAGGCTGGAAATAGAATAACTGAATTTTGTATTTACAATGATTTATTCCTTGCAAATACCTTTTTTAAAAGACACAATGACTCTACACATGGATCTCACTTGATGGGCTGCATATTAGATTAACTATATTTGTGGAAAAATTGAGAAGCTCAATGTCAGTAATCAAAGTAGGCAGGTGGGGGGGGACTGTGGGTGAGATCATCAATTGTGCATATGCAAGTTCAAATTAAGGCTGAAGAAAATGAAAATAAGTCCATAGGAACCAAGATAGGATCTTGAGTCAATTCCATTTGAATTTCAATATCATTTTAGGAATAGTTTTCAGGCACTGACCACCAATGATGGAAAACCAGGTGAGTTGTGGGATGATCATCCACAAATAAAGCAAAAGGTCATTACAAAAACAGAGAAGAAAAGAAAAATTGTAATCGATGTCAGAAGCGTTGAGAAGTCAAAACAAAAGGAAAGCATGCAGAGGTAAAAGAGTTGAACAGAAGATTTCAAAGGGCAGCTTGGGAGGACAAAGCAAAGTATTATAATTAAATGTGCAGAGAGTTGGGAGACCTTTAGTACTCTTTCCTAACACCATAACTTTAAGGTGCCAATTCTTCTGTCATCTTTATTAACTGTCCAGCTTTCAAATGCATAGTAACTGAAAAGGCTGAATCAAATGCATTTTAAACCTTCAAAATGACAACATAGTTCTTCAATTTGAATGACTCCATAATTTGAAGAGTTAAGGATGACTTGAGAATATCCCACCTGAATTTAGAGACTTATCAAGCAAAGATCGGACTGAATATCAATGATAAAAGACCAAACTGGTTGTTAGATGGCATGAAGGTTATCATGTATGAAGAAAGTGAAAGGTAATAAAAAAGATCTGAAATCAAAACCAAATATCTAAAATCCAATCCCAATGTTGAATTTGTCATATAGTCAATTCAGTTATTTGCTCAGCATACAGACTGAATTAGTATGGTAAAAGGTTACAACCTTGACTCAGACCTTTCTGAATTTAAAACTCCTTTGTTCAAACCACTGCTTTGTGATTTATGAACATTATATACTTTCCTACCCAAATTTTAAATTGGAAACCTTGACTAAAGGGTTTAAAATGTTTCGACTGGTTTGCATTATTGTTCCTTGCTTTGGTGTAAGGTCCTGTGCTGTATAAAATGAAAGTGAATTAAACCAAATTACCTGTTATGTTTAGCAAACAAGTAGGCCAAAAAGGCAGGCAAATAAAGATGACAGTTAAATTGCTGTGTTATATACTTTCGATAGTGGTAGGAATGAGAAAAACATTTTAATATTAGTAAGAAATTGATGGACTATTTTCAGTCTTGGTTCTGATGCAAATATATTTTGGCCTAATTTGAGATGCAGAATGCCCACTTTATGTGATGATTTAGACCGTTTAAAGGGTAGTGCCTATTGATACCAAGTTGATTCAGACTCACAGTGAGTTTTTAAGGCAGGCTGTCTTCTTTATAAAAGTAATTTTTCCAGAAGCAGATTATCACATCCTTCTCCCACAGTGGTTGGGGGTTTTGACCTCCTAACCGTTTGTTTAGAAGTTGAGAGTTTTTACTACTATGTTACCAGTGATCCTTAAGGGGTATTAAAAGAGATAGAAAACCCAAACACTTTAAAATCGAAACTTTGATATATCAAGTAACAAGGACCAAAATTAGTATTTTATTTGTAACAACTATTTAAATGATATTCACAAGTACTAGATGAGGACATTTATTTGTACAGAGTATTTTTGGAAAATTTATTTGATGAAAATAATGTACAGAAACATGATAAAAACCTAAACACATCCTGGGCTATATAAATTCTAAATTCTCTTATTTAAAAAAATAATAATTACTCTTTCCTAAAGTGTCCTTATCAATTAGTTAAAATATAGTAAAACTACACTGTCAGAATCATGATTTAAAGATTTTAAAAATAAACATTTTAAAAACTCAAAACATAAACTTGTCAATAGAAATTTTTTATTGCCTTCAAATATAGAAAATGAGGTTAATTTTCTGTTTGCCGATAGCATTTTGGTAATTTTAGTTTTAAGATCATCATCTTTCCAAGATTTTAGATTTCTGGAAGGGCAAGAAACATTTTAAAAGTCAGAGTTAATCAACTTTATTTTCTTTGATTTTGAAGTCATTTATCTTAGATTTTCTTTTGAAGTATTTCTTCCAAATTTTCGATTGAAGCTTGAGTTTATTTTCTGGTTGTTTCTTCTATATTCTAGAGAAGAAATAAAAAGATGAGTATGGTAAATGTATTCAAGTAGAATTTTTGCTTTAATCCAACATAGAAAACTTTGTTAAATATGTACTCCTAAGGAAAAAACCTTATTCGTGACATTTATATTTGTTAATTAATACTATAAAAAAATAAGGACAAAGAAATATTCTTGGTATAAACAGTTCTCAAAATTCATTTCTTCATATTGTAACCTAGAAATTAAATGCACATATACTCATACCCACATCACCAAGGGAAAGAATCAACGACCACATTTTTTATTTTTTCTGAACTAATGACAATCCATTTCCAAGCATTTGTTTCATTATTTTCACATTCATTAGTTTCCCAGACTCTTAGGTTTCCATATTCTTCAAATTTATATAATCCTCAAAAAATCACTGACACTGAACTGGAACCAACTCACTGCTGACCCCTCTAGTGGGTTTCTGAGATTACAGATCTCACACGAGGAGACATTTTCACTCACAGGTACTGGTCTATCCGGACTCCCAGTGTATTCGGACTCCCAGAATGGCGTGGCCTTCAGGTTAGCAACGCATCTCCTACAGACTATACCACCAGGGCTACCATCGACATTTATAAATACTGTTTTTAAAAATTGGCTTGTTTTTCTTTTCATTGCTACCTCTCAAATGTGACTATCTATCCCCATTTTTCAGTAACCTTAACAATGATTATCTATCAACTCAACAGAATGCTGTAATAAGGTACCATCAACTTCTTTCTGGATTAGTCTAAACTTATCCATTATCTTGGTCACATTAAGTTTTTGGGATACTCTATTCTCTTGACAACATTCCTTATTTCTCTAATTGCTCAGTCAACAGCAATTGCATTCTTTTGAGCTGATTGTGCTTTTGTTTTTTCATTTATACACTAGCTGTTATTCAGTGGAATGTATTTTAAGGATGACAGTTGCAACCTCTCACTCTTTCTAAGTCACTGATAACATGGAGTTGACATTTCTCTTGGGTGCAATAATACACATGAAATATTGTTCCTTACAAACCACTGTTTCTTTCATTCTTTGGTCTCCATAAAGTCTTTCTTTACTCTTTAGCAAACATTTTGGTTTATAATAATTTTTTTTCTTTACATAGTGGTTTTAAATTTACAAGACCATAGGATTAGGTGAATATCCTTCTTACTTAGACTTACGTTAGTATAAGAAAAGGCTTAAAGCCTTTTCAATAGTTTTAAAACTGCACATGCAGCAAGTAAAGCCTACTGTGATGAAGAACTATTTCAAAGTGAGGAAAAATTTACAAAACATTAAAGAAGGCCCTTGAAGATGGCGGTACCTCATTCAAGGAAGGCTGCTGATCGGGCCACTCTGAATGTGTATGACTCTCCTACATCCTGCCAATGGCCTAAGTTCAAGCACTGGGCCCCTGAAAGGGCTCTGCCAGGGCTTTCGCTCCTAATTTTTCCTGTTCTAGTTACTATGATGACTCATCCAAAGGTTACAACTTCTGATGTGTTCCTGATTCGCTGTGTATAACCGAACCGGTTCAAAGGCTTGCATTAAAGCACAGGTAGGAACACCTCATCTGTAACACATCAATAACCTGGAGAATGTCTGCATCTCATTCTAGCCTTTGATACTAAATTAGAAAAGAAAATTTTTATTATTTGAAAGTGTTACTAGTGTTAGCTTTCAGAATTATCACTTGTTCAGAATGTTTCAGAAGCTTCATTGGGCAGTAAATATCTATAGTAAATACAGATATTCACTATTAAATACATGACTTCAAACAAAGTAGTCTTAGGCAATCGTAGCTTTCAGAACCCTATTAATCGATTTTTAAAACTGTAGGAAAGGTATGTGCATTGAACTTAAATAAACAACTAACAGTACTATTACAGGAAGTAAGCCTTTATTAATACACTTTGGCAAAGCAATTGAAATATATTGTATTACTCTAAAGGATGGACTTAACATTGACACAAAAAAATGAACAATAGTTTTCATGTTATTACTAGAAATTCTCTCTAGTATCACTGAAGATATGATTTTGTTGCAAAGGACACACTCCTGTTATTCTTATATGTGGCTCAGAGGACACAACTACCCTATCTGCATTTTGGTCTACTTGCCAATGGGAGTTGCAATAGGCAATTGTACTGAGGCACAGAAACTGGAGCCTCTCAATAACTGCACACGAGTCAGAGTCCAAATTATTAAAAATTACAGGCTAAGAGAACAATTTCAGGTGAACAGTTTACTGGTGAAAAACACTTAATTACTAACCTTTCAAATGATACATTTATCTAATTATTTCAATTACTAGCTAAAAGATTTACTGCTTCTAGTAGAATATAGTATGAAGCAATAAAATACAATGAGAAGGGTGTAGAATGTGGAGGTGGGAGATCTAGCTCCACCATGAAGTGTCTGTGATCTTGGGTAACTGGTTTATATTTGTGCCCTAAGTTTCTATGTATATATAACTTGTGGATAATAATGTTTGCTCTACCATAAAATAAAGATGACAAGTACATAAAAGAAGATGCTTTTGAAAATGTACAATTTACGGCCTCTGAAAACTCCCTAGAAAGTCATTTATGGGTCAGTTCCAATTCTACGGCACACCATACCACCACCACCACCACCACCCCCACATACCACTATACCGATCTTAGGAAATCATGCTATTAAACAGCAAAATAAGACTTGAGACATACCCACTGTAGAGCTGTTTTCTTTTAAATGCTTGTTAGATCTTAAACTATCTTGTCGAACACGTTTGGCAAGTCCATAATTTACTGAAGTATTTGGTTCAAAACTTGAAAGGAAAGAAAGTAATTTATTAAAACTTTTTTTAATCTTTAGGTTCTAATACATATTTCACATGCAGCAACCATTAATGAAATAAAATTCTAATAAAGTAAGCTGTGAAATCCCACAGAAATAGCCCACAGAGAAATTTAGCTGTGGTGTATGACTTTATGGTATTTATTCAATTTGGACTTTATAACTGTACGTATAGGTCACAATTCTGCAGTAGACTATTTCCAGAGTGTGCTGCTGAAATACATTGAGCAATACAACACAAAGTACAAAGAAAGCAAGCAAAACCATAGAAGGTGAACAACACTAAAGGGATATTATAGAGCTGGAACAAGTATCTTAGTAGAGGAAATAGAAATAAGTTGCTCTGAAACTTTGTTCTTAAATCAGAGCCTACCATACTGCTCCCTGGAGGCAAGGGTTTTGAAGTTTCCTCTCACACACTTGGGGTATGTGGCTAGGAAGGATCAGTCCTTAAAGAAGGACATCAAGCTTGGAAAGGTAGAGGACGTGCAGGAGAGGAAGACCCAAGATAAGATAAATCAGGTCTGTCAGAGACGTTCAGATTGGGTCAGAATAGGGCAAGATTCAGAGATTTTGTACATAGGGTTGCTATGAGTTGCAAGTGTGATATTGAGCACATAACAAGAACAACAACAAACTAATAATAATTTGCTTGATTACTGCCAACTGTACTAAATGAGAAAAAAAAGACATATTTTAGTATGTTCTATTTTTAATATATTGCAAAATATCAATTATGGCTTTGTGTTATGCTACTGTTAGGTATCAATGAGGAGACTCGAACTCCTAGTGATTCTATGAATAGCACCATGAAACGTGTGTCAGCCTCTTGGTCTCTGCTGCTGTTACATTAAAGGAAATACAACGGCACAAATAACCTCTGTCCTGAAAGCTTATCTAACAGATACAGGGTGAGGATGGGGAAAAAAGACAAACACATAAGCTAAAAGAAAGACTAAAAACTAAAGTCACAGGCTTTCCATTTATAAGGAGCTATATTGTTTTTTCAGTTTAAGAAAAAATAGAAAACAAAATTTGTGGGTGAGTTTGGTTTGGGCCATGAAAAACAACATTCATTCCTAACCTAAGTGACTGACTGTGGTATAGGGGACAGACATTAATCTACTTTTACTAAAATAATTTTCTTTCTGAGGAATTTCTAGCTAATAAAAATTCTATATTACAAAGTTAATGTTAATTTGATTGTCAGTTATTAACTCTTGACAATTCCAACCATGGAAAGAGGTAGAAGTGCACATTTGTGGAACATGAGAAATAGAGATTAGCGATTCAGCTTTTAAATAAATGACAATTTAATACCACATAAGAAAACCCACAATAAAACCTCAATACATGACAGTCAAGAATATATACACTAAACACCAAGAAAAATAACTCAGCTGGTAAAGATTTTATAGACCCATTGAGAAAATTTGTATTGTGCTCATAGGGGCACCGGTATCTACTATGCTCAAAAAAGGTAAACAATATCTATTTAAAATGGTAATCATAAGGCATTATTGTTATTGTAATGTGTTGTCGAGTTAATTGCAACTTATAGCGACACTATATTGAACAGCTCTGAACTCTGCTCTATCTTGAGCCAACCTCAACTATCTCTGACACGCCTACCTCTATTTCCCCAGACAGTGAGTCAACTCATCCAGGGTCTTCCTCTCCAGTGCCATCCCTCCACCCTTCCAAGATGATGTCTTTCTCCAAGTACAGGTCCCTCCTTTCAAAATGCCCAAAGTATAAAGACAGAGCTTCTGAATCCTTGCCTTCAAGGAGCAGCATCTCCAGGTCAAATTTGTTTTTTTCTCCTAGCAGTCCGTGGTATATTCAATAATCTTCTCTAGCATTACAACTCAAAGGCATCAATTCTCCTTCTATCATTCTTAGTCATTGTCTAACTTTACTTTATTGTTATAGAAATAAATAAATACATTAATTATAGGAATGCTTCATTCCCAAATTGAGCTAAATGAATTAGGGTTTTGTCCAAACCTAATAACCAAACTGGTGAGACAATATAGATTAATGTCATTAGCTGTTTTTGATAAGAGTTGCTTTTCCCTACAATTTATCTTAAAGCCTTTTTTTTAAAATATGACACTTTACATTTGGCTAGTTTGTAGACCTTAACTTCTATCCATAGCATGTTCTTACTGAAAAATTTAGCTTCTGAATAAATGAGTCTGGCAGAGTGAACGTGTTGTTGTTGTTAAGTGCCACCGAGTCAGAATTGACCTGTAACTGATCCACCGGCAGGTTTTCAGAGGCAGTAAATTGCACTGGATGATAATGCCGCTCTTTCTCCCATGGTGAAGCTGGTGGATCTGAACCACATACATTTGAGTTGGCAAAACAATTCCTTACCATCAGGCCACCAGAGCTCCCTAATGTTCATATCTATTGGGAGGATATATAAGTATAATCAAGTAAATCATAGACTTACAATAAAGTCACATATTCCCATTTTTTGGATTGAGACAAAATAAAACAATGACAAAATATTTAAAATTTAGTATAAACTAGATTAGAAAATAAAAATTCTCCAACTTTATGAGTAGAAATTAAATTTTCATAAACATTAGTGAAAACTGAGAATGAATGTTCTCTTTAGGTAGAATGTTTCTGCTCATTATAGGTGTCTCACTTTACTTGTTCAATAACTTCTAGGTATAATTCTTACATAGTTGTTAGGAACCCGCTCATAGATGAACATCTACTGGGCTTTCAGAGATAGTAAACTGCATAGGAGAACACTCCATCTTTCTTCCACAGAACAAATGATAGATTCGAACCACGGGCCTTTGGGTTTGCAGCACAGGTCAAGCATAACTCTTTACCAGTAGGCACCTAAAACTCCCTAATATAGGAATATAATACTACTTGTAGAAATAATTTATAGATAAAGTCATTAGGCAGCTTTCAAAGAGAATATACATCAAGTGTGAGACATTTTTGGTTGAGAAGAAACAGAACAGCAGAGAAAAGAAATAAAAAACAGCCACAACACTCCAAAGCAACCAAATATCCATGTCCATATACAAGACACTCTCAAACTCTTGTTATGTGCCACCGAGTCGCATGTGACTCATAGCAATCCTATGTACAACAACTCTGAACTCAGCTCTATTCTGAGCCAATCTGTCTGTAATACATCTACCATCATTACCCCAGTTACTGTGTCAATCCATCTCATCTGGGGGCTACGTCTCCTATGCTGTCCCTTCATCCTTCCAAGCACAATGTCCATGGATTGGTCCCTCTTAGCCATAATTGGTGCCCAAGTATGTGAGATGAGGATTCAGAATCCTTGCCTCCAAGGAGCAGCATGTTTTCACCCTCTCCAGAATAAAGCCATTTGTTCTCTTGGCAGTCTATGTTATGCTGAATACTCTTTTCCAGTACTACAACTTAAAGCATACATTTTTCTGTTAATCGTAATCATTGTCCAGCTGCATAGCAAGTAACTGCTAAGACCATGGTCTGAAACAGGTGCATCTTAAATCCCCAGACTGATATTATTGCTCTTCAGCACTTTGGAGAAGTTCCTGACAATAGCTTTCCCCAGGGCAATTTCTCTTTTGACTTCTTGACTGCTGGTGCCAAGAATGTTGACTGTGGATTCAAGCTGCATTGTTAACAAACACAATCTTTTCACTATCTATAATAGTGCTGACAGTTGGCCCAGTGGTGAGAATCTTTGTCTTCTTGAAGTTGAGCTTCAATCCATACTGAAGACTAGAGTCTTTAACTTTCTGTTGCAAACACTTCAGGTCCTCTGTCATCTGCATAATGCAAGCTGTTGATGAGTCTTCCTCCAATCCTGATGCCACATTCCTCCTCATAAAGTCCAGCCTCCCAAATGATCTAGTCTGTATATAGATTGAAAAGGTATGGAGACAGGATGCAGGCCTGACACACTCCTTTCCTGACTTTGAACCATGCATTGTTTCCTTGCTCTGTTCTGAGGACTGCTTATTGGTCCAAATATAGGTTTCACATGAGCACAATCAAGTGTTCTGGGATTTCTATTCATCTCAAGGTTAGCTACAATTTTTTGTGATTACTATAATCTGAGTAAAAGCTGATACTTTTATATGTTTATCTTTGCGGTAGATGGATTGTTGTTGTTATGTGCCGTCAAATCGCTTGCGATTCATAGCGACCCTATGCACAACAGCACTAAACTCTGCTCTGTCCTGTGCCAATCCCACTGTCTCTGACACTCCCATCCTGATTATCCCAGTCACTGAATCAATCCACCTCATAGAGGGTCTTCCCCTCCTGCGCTGTCCCTCCACCCTCCCAAGCATGATGTCCTTCTCCAAGGGCCGATCTCTCCTTACAACATGTCCAAAGTATGTTAGATGGAGCCTCAGAATCCTTGCCTCCAAGGAGCCACCTGGTTTAACCCTTTCCAGGATGAATCTGTTTGTTTTCCTAGCAGTCCATGGTTCTCTCAATACTCTTCTCCAGCACCACAGCTCAAAGGCATTAATTCTTCTTCTATCCTCGTTGGTCATTGTCCAACTCTCTGATGCCTTAATTTAGTAAAAGAGTTTGATTAGTGATATTAAGGTTGGTAAAATAAAAAAAAAAATCCAATTATTTCCAACTGCGCCTATGAGGTGGACTTATTCAGTGACTGGGATAATTGGGATGGGAGTGTCAGAGACAGTGCGACTGGCACAGGACAGAGCGGAGTTTAGGGCTGTTGTACATAGGGTCGCTATGAGTCGCAGGCGACTCGACGGCACATAACAACAACAACAACATTTCCAACTGAAATAGTAAGGGAAAAATCCAGTTTCTCAGGTTTTTGGAAAACCCAGTGCTTTTGAGTGGATACTAATCGTTTTAGAAGAGAAAACTGATGCAGAATAAAGTTAGAACTTTGCCATCTCAATTTTTAAAAACCATAGTGTAATAAATACACACACAAATGTGTATATGAAGCTGATAAGTGGAAAATAACAAAGTTTATTACTCTCAAGCTCACGTAGGTTTAATTAGGGGAAAGGAAGATTAACAAAAAGTAATTATGTACATTTCTAGCATTAATCTCTTTTAACCTTAGTTAATGGCAGGATCTAATTACTGGTACCAGAGGGAATGTAATAGAGCATTTAATAGGCCAAGAGAAATCAAGTTACACTTTTTACTTGCCCTTTAATATTACTTCACAATATTAGTTGCTCTTGTGAAAGTCATTTAACTTATCAAAAACCATTCCAAGTTCTAAAGCTCAATACATATGCCTAGAAATTTCTTTAAAAGTGTTTGACAATGACAATTCTTATATTTTGGAAATATTCTTAGCTATAAAATAGGAAGAGTAAAAAGCAAGGTTTTGATCTATTCTTGATAGAGCTGCTATGAGATGTGGTGAACTGATGGCACCCAACAATAACATTTTAGCCATAAACATTTGCCCGACCTAAGTTAACACAACAAAACATGTTACTAGTGCAGTATTAGATAATTCACCACATTAATTCACATGAAAAATAACAATGAAAATTACAATAATAAAATGGATAAAACATGATAGCGGTTGACTACGTTCACTAACTAAATAATGTAATCACATTGACAAGTTTGTTTGAACATACATGTGTACGTTAGCAAGCCAAAGGGTGCTTTGGCGGCCTAGGAGAAGAGTCAGGCTGTCAACCCAAAAGCAGTTTGAATCAACCAGCTGTCCAAGGGAGAAAGATGGTCATTCTCCTTTGTGAAACAAGTCCCTGAAAACTTGCTGGAGGGTCAGCTGTAAGTCAGTTCTGATGCCATGGCAATGAGTTAGTTTGAGTTAGCAAAGTAAATATTTTCAGGTGTCAAGGAAATCTATGAAAATCAGCCTATGATGCTCACTTAAATCTACACATTCCAATAGCTCTGTTGTCCTTCGTTTTGTGGAAAAAAAGGATCTTAAATTTACCTACAAGAAGATAACACTATGTGGCACAAATAAGTAGATAATTTGTAAATTTCTACCTTTTAACCCAAATGCCAAGAGGCTCATGGTGAAACCCAGGAAATTTTAGAAAAGAGATTCTATGTTTCTCTATAATCACATGGCCTCCCTTCAAGTCAGGCTCATCTTACATGTGTAAGATACATTTGACATATACCTTGTCATTAATCTCAATGCTGTGGGGACACACACACACACACAAATAAATTGTCTTTATGGTAAATAACTTAGTATATTTAATATTTTTCTCTTTTTCTTTGATTTATAACTGTTTTACTATTATGGTATGGCTTCTCTTCTTTAAAAAGCATCTCTTGTACTACTTATTCTTGTCTCTTTCTAGCCTTTGAAATAAAACCAGTGTATCTTTTTTATCTTATCTCTTGTTTCTTCTACTTCCTGCCACCCCCCCCACCCCCACCCCCAATCCAGGTAGGAAATTAAAAGAGAAACTGCACTGAGAAAGTCTATTGTCAGAGATCTCCCCAGAGAAATGAAGAGGAATGATGTCAGTCTGCAGACTAAGGTGTACCTGATCTAGGCCATAGTCTTCACAATTACTTGCTATGCATCACAAATTTGGACAATGATTAGGGATGACAGAAGGAGAATTGATGCTTTTGAGCTGTGGTGCTGGACAAGAATACTGAATATACCATGGACTATTAGGAGAACAAACAGGATCATCCTAGAGAGGGTGAAACCAGGCTCCTCCTTGGAGGCAAGAACTCTGAAGCTTTGTCTGAAGTATTTTGGGCATGTTGCAAGGACGGACCAGTCCTTGGAGAGGGACATTATGTATGCTTGAGAGGGTGGAAGGACAGTACCAAAAGGGGAAGACCCTTGAGATGGACTGATTCAGTGACTAGGGTAATAGGGATACGTGTGTCAGAGACAATAAGGCTGGTACAGGATAGAGCAGGGTTCTACATAGGGTTGCTATGAGTCATAAGCGACTTAACAGCACACAACAACAACAAGAGACTTTTCAATTTATTTTAAATAAGCACAATTAAGGAATACTTTATAAATACAGTGTTTCATTCAGATCCGTGTATGCCTAAATATGAATGGGTATCTAATGATACATTTTTTTAAATAGTTACAGGAAACAAAGCACAAAGATAATCCTAATACAGTCAGTTGACTAGTTTGTGTCTAATCCTACCTTGCTAATTTCCGCTTCCTTTTGGCAGCAGCAGTCATTGCCATGTAGGATGGTACCATGTTTGGTACAAGCACAGAAGGCTTAGTTGAGTGTGAAGAAGACACAAGCCTGTATATTAAATTATGAACAAACACAAGCAGTTAATTTTTACTTATGCTATGGAGAAAAAAGGGAAGCAGATACTTCCATAACCAGAAAACCATTTGGTATTAATAAAGAAAGAAAATCACTTTTCTATCTGTTACATTTTCCATTCTGGCAGCAGGGTTTACTTTTCCCTTTTATATACAACACACAGATTGGCTATCAAGAGTTTTAGAGAAAAAAAATCATTTGCTTGGATGACATGAAGTCAACCTTACCTTCGACATATGATTATTTTAGAGTAAGCTGAAGTTTATTAAATGCCAACAGAAAATGTAGAATTTCTTTCAGTGAAGATATTAACTAATAAACATGGTAATCCTCTAGTGATGGCTTGTTATTATCTACCTTTAGGATACATAGTAAGAACTAATTTATATGGGCCAGGCCACTCCTAGCCTAAAAAATATTTAATAGATTAAAAATGTCACATTTAAGAATTCAAAATACTCCATTAATTAGTAGACAAATACTTAATGAAAAATTAGTAAAGAAATACTGTTTTGTAATCAAGATAGCATATAATTTACAAGAGACCTCAAAAGTATCTAAAGGAATAAAAAAGTATAAAGGCTACTTAAAATAGAAAAAAAAATTCTGTTCTTGTACCTTGGCAATATATTACTGTTGTGATTTGGCAGTGATTCTTTTTCAGGTAATTCACTCCCCAACTTCTTGGTATCTTCACATATGACAAATGTAGAGTCCAAATCCCCCTGTCTACATTTTATTTTCCTATTAAAAGGAGTATCTACTTCACACACCATTTTCAAACAGTTATTACTGTTCATATTTGAATTGAATGCCTGAGAATTCATAGTATCCAATGATGGTTTTATTAAGGTCCTTGTAGATGGAGTTTGAAAATTTCGTCCACAGTTTTCTGGAGTATATACAATAGGCTGAAGGTCTTTGCAGAAGGAATCATTGAGCTGAGTATTTTCAGAAAATAAAGACTTTTGGGTAGGTTTTGCTTCTAATGGAGACGGCATTAGTTTTCTTCGAGTTCTTTTTTGTGGAGAAATTACAAATGGATTTGATTCACTTGAAGATGTGCCTGTTCAATAAAATTAAAATGATGAATAATTTGCCTAGACAGTTTCAAATATAACACCATAAATGAAAAAAAAAAAAACAACTCACAAATAAACAGGAACCAATGAAATAAACTTTTTGCTAAAATGATAAAAATTTGAAAATCAAATATATTGGGAAGGGAAAAAAAGTAGATCTTTTACATAATATTAATAAATTAATTATAAAGGAGCTCAATTAACAGGACAAAAAAAAAGAGATTGTTAGTATCAATACTGACTAACAACCATAGCCTTCTTGAGATACTAGGTAATCAATGACAACAAATTCCAGACAATTAAAAAAAAATTCATAAGTAATTTCTTAGTTTTCATGCTTGATGTGGGCTTCAAATAACAAAGAAAAAATATTCAGAGTTCACAGTCACCAAACTAAGTACCTTGCTGTATTATAAATGCTGTCTGTGGGAGAAAGATGGGTAATCTCTTTCTGTACTTTTACAGCCTCTGAAAACTCACTGGAAAGCCAGTAGGTTTCAATTCAAGGATCCATAACAACATGGAAAATCTAGTCTGAATTAATAAGAATGGTAGGGACCAAAACAATCCCAAATAAAATAACTATATCTCTTACTGTCTCAGGTATGACAGCTAATTAAGTTAACTGTTTGATTTATCCTTTTTAGGATATATAATTTAGAGAATGACAAATAAATAAATAATAATAAATAATAAAAAATAATATAAATAATAAAAATTTTATAATAATTATAAATGATAATTATAATTTAGAGAATGACAAGTAAATAAATAAACTAATAATAATAAATAATAAAAAATAATATAAATAATAATAAAAATAATAAATAAACTAAATTAAAAAAGTGAATTGAATATAATTTGTTTTCTGAACACTTGAAAGTACTCTTGACTTTGACACTCACTACACTGCTAAAGCACCTCTTTCAAAAGTCCTGTGATTTTTCAGTTTAATGACCTTTTCCCCCCCACATGTATCCTACAACTTCTATAGCTTGAGAACCCAGAAGTAAATCCATCTACCTATGGAGAGCTGATCTTTGACAACAGATTGAAATCTGTTAAATGAGGAAGAAAGAAAGAAGATTCTTTAACCAAAGATGCTAGTTGAATGGGGAAAACATCTGCAGGAAAGGGAAAGATCTACATTGCACATTACATGCAAAAAATTAACTCAACGTGGATCAAAGGCCTAAATGGTAAACCTAAAAATAGAAAGTTCTTGGAAGATAACAAGCTTATGGCGTATGATATAAAAAAACTAAAAATATACAAAAACAAGATAAACTGGATGACTAAGATCAGTTAAAAATTAAGTAAGTGTAAAGAATTTGACACTTCTCCAATGAATGAAAACAAAACGTACAGACCAGAAAAATTCTAATAATGTATCAGAAGAGAAAAAAGTTTAGATTTTACAAAAAAAAAAACCCTCAAAAACAAACACAATCGAATTCTTTAAGAAAATGGCCAGAGAATGTGAGTAAATATTTCACAAGATGTTCAGGTAGCCAACAAATGCATAAAGTAAGCTTGCGAACAGTCATTATTAAAAAACAAACAAATGACAACCCAAACCCCTCTAATTCAAACTCTCTAAAGTCACCAGAGCTCCCTAACTGGCCAATGTTGGAACTAGACTTGGCAGTTAATCATATGAGTGTCCATTTTTCTCCCGTAGGGATTTGAATCACATGCTTTTTTTGTTTTGTTTTTAAATAAAGGCTTTTTATTTGGTTTCTCTACCTCTCACAGGAAACTGTGGACCATGCTTTTGTGTAGGTAGCACTGCTTCTTACCCACTAGGCCATCAGAGCTTGTATTAGCTAATGTTGCTGTTAAGTTCCATTAAGCCAACTACGACTCACAGCAACCCTAAGAACAAGAGATCTGAACCCTGTCCTATCCCGTGCCATCTTTATCATCTTACACATTTGATTGTACAGGTGCAGCCACCATGTCAATCCATCATGTTGAGGGTCTTCATGTTGCTGACCCTCCTCCACCTTTTCAAGTATAATGTCCTTTTCTAAGGTATAGCCTCTTCCTAACATGTCCAAAACATCTGGGACAAAGACCCACCATCCTTGCCTCTATGAAACCATTTGGCTGCACTTTCGCCACCACACATCTATTTGTTCTTTTGGTAGTCCATGGGACACTCTCAGTACTCTTCTCTAACACCACAACTCAATGGCATTGATCTTTCTTCTCTCATTTTCACTGTCCAGCTCTAAGATGCCTAACATGTGCTAGAAAAGACCATGGCTTGAATCAGGTGCACCTCAGACTTAAACTGATATGTCTCAATGTTCCCTAGAATATTGTAGAGGTTCCTGAAAGCTGACTTTCCCAGCGCAATATGTCTTTTATTTCTTGACGGCTGGTAATGAGAGTGTTTATTGTGGATCTAAGCAAGATTAAATCATTGATAACTTCAGTCTTCTCCCAATCTATAATGATGCTGTCTGTTGGCCCAGGGATAAAGATCTTTGTTTCTTGATATTGAAATATAATCCATATTGAAAACTGTACCTTTGTTCATTAGGGAGATGCAAATCTGAACAAAAACAAGATAGATTTCAGCCCCCAGCAATAACAGTAAAGCTCACAAAACCAGAAAACAATCAATGCTGGAGAGATTCACTGCAGTGAGACTGCACAACAGTTCTACCACTGTAGACAATGTTATAAGGCTTTCTGAAAAAGTTGGAACTAATCTACAACCAGGAGAGGATAAAATAGATGAATGGGAGCGTCTGAGAATCAAATCTCTATGCACATGCAAAAACTTCTCCAACAGGGTAAAAAGGGAAGCCACAGATAGGGAAAAAATATTTGGTAATGACATGTCAGAGAAGGGATTTAGATATAGAATTTATAAAATACTTGAGCACCAAAAAA